TAGCATTGCGGAATTTTCCATACAAAACCATACATTTATTCGAATAACTATAAAATAATACATTAATCTTGTTTTAAATGAATTAACTTAACATTTGATTGATTTTATGAAACATATTACTCCTTTTAAATTGAAAACATAAAATAATTATTGATAATTATTGATTATATATATATATATATTTGATTACCAACTGTCGAAATTAATACATAAGGTAATTGATATATAATGTACTGTCGGTAATTGTCTAATATTGTCGGTAACTAAACTATTCTTACGGCGGGTAATTGAATTAGAGCACAGAACTGCCATATTAGTAACGAAAAGGAAAAAAAAACACTCTTGTAGGGATGTTACAGATGGCGCAGCGGTTAAGGTGTCGGACTCATAAACCGCTGCATACATTTTTTGGCGCAGGTTCGATCCCACATGAACTTATATATTTTTTTTCCTTTTTTTTTTCTTTAAATTGTTAATTTTTTAATTTCTAATTATAGAACAATGGATATTACGTATTTAAAAACATTTCTATCGCACTTTAGAAATATTTCAAGGTTTGTTTTTTTTTTTTAAAAACCGAAAAACTTTGACAACTTTAAATTCATATAAAAATAATTACGGAACATTTTGACTATATATCTTAATTGTGCTACGAGTTTATATATTTGTAACATCCCTGAAGAATTTTCAAACTTTTATTGCAGTGTCATTTCTTCAATTATCGACTGTATTTCTCCCTTATCGACCGCGACATTAGACAAATCGAGTATCATAAGAATTCAGCAAACTGTCGGTAATAAATGCATAATTCTACATGGAAAATTCCGTAATGCTATGTGTTTACGTGCCGCGATGCTCGCCCCGAATTTCCTGGAATTCCTGCGTTTAATTAAATCGTTCGTTTTCATAATTAATGTCTAATTGCGAATTTATACGACAATTATATATTTCGACATTATGGGAGTTTTCCAAGAAATTGCCAGGCTGACGAGTATAAAAACTCGCCTAAATCGCAGAACAGTTTTCGAAGTCGAGCAAGCTAGAAGTCTCCTGGATAAGTATAACCGGAACAGATTTCGCTGTCAAGAGCCGCAACGATTCTTAATACTTGACTGGTAAAGCGGGTATACGCCATTTGGATACTTGATCGTGGGTCGTTCTAGTAGCTAGCTAACGCAGGCTCCCCATTCAAACGGTCTTGTATCTGAAACTCTGCTAGGAAAGTGCTATACTTGGCGCCAAGATAGGCTAAGATATCGAAACGATAGCTTTCCGCTAGTCACATTTGATTTTTCATCGGATTGCTAACGCGTCATCAGATTCTCGGAGCTCGCTCTGGGTTGTTTCGTAGCTAGCTAACGCAGGCTCCCCATTCAAACGGTCTTGTATCTGAAACTCTGCTAGGAAAGTGCTATACTTGGCGCCAAGATAGGCTAAGATATCGAAACGATAGCTTTCCGCTAGTCACATTTGATTTTTCATCGGATTGCTAACGCGTCATCAGATTCTCGGAGCTCGCTCTGGGTTGTTTCGTAGCTAGCTAACGCAGGCTCCCCATTCAAACGGTCTTGTATCTGAAACTCTGCTAGGAAAGTGCTATACTTGGCGCCAAGATAGGCTAAGATATCGAAACGATAGCTTTCCGCTAGTCACATTTGATTTTTCATCGGATTGCTAACGCGTCATCAGATTCTCGGAGCTCGCTCTGGGTTGTTTCGTAGCTAGCTAACGCAGGCTCCCCATTTGAGCGGCTTGGTCTCTGAAGCCCGTGTCTTTTGGGTGGTAGTTCAGCAATAACGATTTTATAATTAGAGTCAATTGATTTGCTACCCTGTTAAACTTATATTGTTCACCCTTTTCCTGTATCGTTGGGTCGTTCTAGTAGCTAGCTAACGCAGGCTTCCCAATTAAGCGATCTGGTTTTGGCTGTCAGTGTTCGTTTTGACAAAAAGGGCCATGGACAACTAGTTGTCGAGTCAGATTAAAAGAGTAACTCTTCCGAGGAAGTAATTCATTTAGATTCAAACAAATTTTGAACTTGAATTAGTAAAAGAATATTGTTCTGTCATCAGCGTAATTTCCGTAGTCGACTACACCGCGTTAGATAGCAGATAAAATCATTAATGTGTCTAACTTTGCGAAGGCGTATTTAGGTACACTTAGAGAGTCACATTTAGGTCGTGTTCCTCGCTGCGGTAGACTATAACGCGCTATTATTAATTTCGTAAAAGAGTATTCATTACATAAATTATAAACGTATTAATCAAGTTAAATTTTGTCAATGCGATAGTGTTCGAAACTAGAATTATATAATATAGAATATCAAATTCAGTTAATTTTATAAAAGCGAAGTTAGCTTTATCCGAAATCAGATTTAGGTACGATGTAATATAAAACATTAACTAGCGAGAGTCATTTTTGTTAGATTCACAATTATCTATTACGTATTGTTTAATTTGCCAAGTTCTATTATTATATTTCTATTATCAATATTATATCAAAGTCTATTTAGTTTCTTTTGTTCAAACGAATATACTTATCATATTTTGTTGTTCTTTGTTAAATTCATCATCTTCATTATTCTATTGAATAAACCTTATTGTTGCAAGGTATTGATCTGTGGATTTCACTCCTTAACCGCACACCACACGAATCCCACAATCTTCACATTTAGTTATTTTTCAAAACGAGTCGTTCAGTTGGTAAAAGCCGCTCTTTACCTTACTAGCGCTAGTAACTATCTGAATCTAGGTTCCAGAGTCGTTACATATTTTCAGTGTAGTACATATATCAGTCCAATTTTTAAATATTTCATTTCAATATCACATTTTTCGGATTTTTTTTCGGTTTTGATTTTTGATTTTTACGATTAAAAAATCTGAAAAAATTCTATAATATGCGCTATCTCGACCTCAATGTTTTAGAATTTTTTCAGAATTTTTGTACGAAATAAAACATGGATAAATTGATTTATTAATTTTTAGAGTAACACGATCAAAACCAATTATTTTCAGTTGTTTCCTAGTCCTAATTAATTGTGCTTAAAATATATAAAATAAAACAAGTATTATTAATATTATATTTATATTATAATTGCCAGTTATAAAATTGATTGTTCACAACAATCTTGAAACAATCCGGTAAGTTCAAAAAGTTCATTGAGTCTATTACTACGATACCTGAGATTCAATTGGCTGTCATATTTGAAATTAATGATGTGTTTGTATACATGTATGTGTATAAGAGATACAATGTAAAGGATATAGCCGGATAAGGTAGTCAAATGTGCCCTTGAGTCGAATTAGAAACCCAATGAGTGATGCCCACTTGGACGCCGATCGATTGGACGCGTCCCGATTGGACGGTCCCGATTCGACGCGTTCCAATTCGAAGCGGTGCCGATTGGACGCGTCCCAATTCGAAGCTGTTAAATTTGGTTAGGTTAGGTTCTATAAGCTCTGCTTAGAATTGGAACGCGTTCAATCGGCACCGCTTCGAATTGGAACGCGTCGAATCGGGACCGTCCAATCGGGACGCGTCCAATCGATCGGCGTCCAAGTGGGCATCACTCATTGGGTTTCTAATTCGACTCAAGGGCACATTTGACTACCTTATCCGGCTATATCCTTTACATTGTATCTCTTATACACATACATGTATACAAACACATCATTAATTTCAAATATGACAGCCAATTGAATCTCAGGTATCGTAGTAATAGACTCAATGAACTTTTTGAACTTACCGGATTGTTTCAAGATTGTTGTGAACAATCAATTTTATAACTGGCAATTATAATATAAATATAATATTAATAATACTTGTTTTATTTTATATATTTTAAGCACAATTAATTAGGACTAGGAAACAACTGAAAATAATTGGTTTTGATCGTGTTACTCTAAAAATTAATAAATCAATTTATCCATGTTTTTAACATTAGGTGTCTCGTAACTCTTCACGTTTTAGTAATTTGCGAAATAACAAAGTTGGAAACGATCATTTTCTGTTTTGTAGAACAACGTTATTCTGACTTGGCTAAATTTACTACAACTTATGGTATCCATATTGTATACTAAGAAGTTAATGTATGCAACAAATTTGATCATAATGATCGATATTATTCCATTTGACGAAAAATTTGAACGGAGATATCGAACATTTGTTTTTGATGATACAGATTAAACAGCCGTTTTTGAATCAATATATTTCGGATATTTCCAATATTTTAGTTTATTCAATGTTCTTGCGTTAAATTTAGATTTTATTTTCGCTTCGTCCTTTGCGATCGCTTATAAATTTGGTTATCCCGAAGTGTGACTTTATAAATGGTCATGATCAGACCTAACAGTATTTTCTGTTCACCAAATATTCCTTTATACAGGAAAAGCCAAGGCATTGTCGGACATTTAGGGTCCTCCCACAATTCACTGGGAACCCCACCATTCCTAAATGAAGGCATTCTAACAAAGCTAGGAACGATGGGTTCAATTTTCAAGGGGACATGCTGATTGGAATATTCAACTTTTAAACAAAGACCAATCAATGAGCGACCTTGAATCCTACGCCTGAGATATCCGGTTGGCGGTGAGTTGTCACTTTGTTTTCATCCACAATCGTAGTCACTTTCTTCTTTTTTAACTTCCTTCGTGATAGTTAAAGCGAACGAAATATTGGTATATTGAATATAATTCCTCATCCACGAATTAAGTCGAAATAATTTTGTCCACAACTTAATTTATGAAAACAACGAGTCGCGATTATTGACGAGTCCTAACGATAAGTTGAACCTTACAATTTCAGCTAAAGAATTCAATCCGCGTTAATAATCGTTGACTGGTAACAAAAATACGTGAGATTGCCATAAAACATTTGTAGTGATTGTTTTTGAATGGGTCTCTTATTTCTATTGACCTTTTGAACTTTTTTTCATTTAATATATGTTAAGATATAGAGTCACTAAGAAATATATAGAATATGATAAAATGTAAGAAAAATACCATTTCACCAAAGAGTTCTCCTTCATCAGGACAAGCTGGACTAGAAGGCGCTGCAATGTGAATCCAACCAGGTCGCGGTTCCCTAACCGGAAGTAGAACACGATGTACTATGCATCTTGAATCTTTGGCTAAACGTTTAATCACGCACATTAGTATTGACTGTTGGACCTCTTTTATAGCTAAAGCTTCCTCCGGAAACGGTACCGGTTGTAATAGTGCACCGAAACCTGGCCTCCAGTCGCTATATTCTGACCTAAAAGTAAATAAATAATCGTTAATGAAATTTGTTATTCCAATATATTTTTCTAGTAATTATGAATAAGAATAAGACTACAAATGTTGATGTATTTATTACAAGTAAAGTACACAGAACACGTTCAAAACTCTGGGGAGAAATTGGTATAACTCATTCAAAATATCAAAAATGTGTAGAGTGTATGATGAGGGAACATATTAATATGAATATACAGTATATGACAAAAGTATTCATACACGTAAAATATAGAAATAAAAAGAACAATATTTTCTACATTATTAAGTATGTTTAAATATATATAGTTGTATATTAAACATTCCACTTACAGCAACGAATGACCCAAAATCGAAGGCAATGACATCATGTAGTAACTTGAAATGACTTGAAATTCACAGGACCGTAAGAAATTGCTGGGACAAAACTATTAGCACATTATCCTTCATGTTGATAAATACAACAGTTGCAATGGCATCAGGACATTCTGATCAATGTAACCATTACATTAGATGATGTTATGTTAGTGTAGTCAGTAGTAGTCATGGCAAGTACACTTTGACACCAATATTTGCAATATGGGAAAAAAACGCAATGAAACAACATTAAAAGAAAGACAAATTTCTATACGGATACATGAAGAAGGTAAATCGTATAGAAATACAGGGTTTGTCCAATAAGTATCCGGATTGATGTCCTAAAATGAAGTGCGTTGAAGATATACGTACATTGAGTTAATAATCTTCAAAGTATGCCCCTCCTGCATCAATACACCGTTGCCAGCGAGTTTTCCATTGTTTATACGCTTCCTGGAAGTCGGCAAGCGTAAGACTGTTCAGGCACTCCGTCGAAGCCGCTTGAACCGCCTCAATCGTCCCGAAACGATGTCCTTTAAGGCTTCTTTTAATGCGAGGGAACAGAAAAAAATCAGAGGGTGCCATATCTGGACTGTAGGGTGGTTGGGGTAGTGTTGTGATGTTATGCTTCGTCAGTATCTGTCTCACAATTAACGACGTGTGACTTGGCGCGTTGTCGTGATGGAGCATCCAGGAATTCGCGATCTCCCTTCGTACGCGGCGTACTTTAAGTCTCAAACGTTCGAGCACTTCTGCGTAAAATTGGCCATTCACTGTTTGTCCGGCAGGCACAAACTCCTTGTGGATAACACCTTTTGCGTCAAAGAAGACAATAAGCATCGATTTTATCCTTGACTTGCTCATGCGAGCCTTTTTCGGTCGAGGAGAGCCGCTTGTGTGCCACTCAGCACTTTGCATTTTTGACTCCGGATCGTATTCAAAAATCCATGTTTCGTCACCGGTAATCACTCTGTCTAAAAGATTTGAATCCCTCTCCAAACATTCTAAAAGTTCACGAGAAATCGTCACACGGCGTTCTTTCTGTT